TCTCGTTATCTAAGCATTTTATCTGAGAATAAGCCTCTTTGAGGCCCGTCTCTGATGGTGCATCCTTCTACATCAGGTTTCCTCGGTTTCTCCCTTCGACTGAAGTGAAGGACACGAATRACCCAAAGTATTTCAGTCTGTTCACAACAGCGTTACACCCCTCTGTCCCTCTCCAGTCGCTATTTATTTTTGTAGCATTGTAACTACATATGTACCTCTGAGCTGAATATTAATATGGCTGAGGGACGTCAGTCTCTGCCCCAGGATCACCAGATTCCACTTGATGTGAGTTTGTCTTTCACTTACCAAGTGAAATTTCTGATTAGTAATCTGAAATTGCTAATTTCTGATTGTCCCACTCAGGATACAGTGCCTCCAAATTTCTTTACAAGTGTCACAAGAATGTCTCAATACCACCTCACTGCCCACCTCTGCCATTACGGCTTTCCCTGCCTTAGGTACCATGAGAAAATAACATAATTGCTTTTAGGATCTTTGCTTCAAATACTCTCTGTAGGTGTGTATTCTGGGTTGCTCTTACTACATGCCTTTTTTATGGACTTTCTTCCCTGATGCACTTTGCAGAAAGCAAGATTAGAAAGAATTATAATTACAGTATTTATTAAACCACTTCTTAGGGGAGGAAACTGATAGCATGCAGAAAGAAATATTACAGAAAAATAATAAAACACTCTGGCAAAATATCTTTAGGAAGATTCAGGTTCTATGAAGAAATCCATTTTCCAATAAAATTAACAGTTGACTTAGTATTTTGGTGCCCTGCAATAACATCAACTTACATACAAACCTGTGTAGCATTCCTTTCTCTTCTAGATTAAAAAAGGCACAATTTTAATTGTTACAGGCTTTCTTTATAGTTCAATACATTTGCAGTTTCATGCATGAACTGTTTTGTGAAAACTGATCACATTGAGCAAACTATGGGGGTTTGAATACATGGCAATGGCCCCAGCCTCCCCATTTACATCTGCTTTGTGAGGAAAACCAGCTACAACAAGAACAAAGAGYCTCACTTTGTGTGTTCGTTTTTTGGTTTTCTTGTCTTCCTTTCTCATTTTGAATCTGGACTAACCACTCTGTTGTACAGTGGGTTCAAAATGCAGCTTTCCCCACCAGTTCCTCTACTGTACCTTCCCAGAATGCATGAATGCATTTACTCCTGCCAACGAGTAACCCAATAATCTTTATTTTTTTACCCAACAGAAAGAAGCTTTCATAGGGAAACCCTCAAATTTCTGAGCCGAGTGTGACAGTAGGAGGAAATCTGTCGAAGTTGCCTGTAATGGAAGCCCAGTTGTGTGTTTTCAGTCTTTTTTTTCACCTGGCCTCTTAGTGGCAGGGCAATTAGAGCTCAAATGTACGGGGAAAACTTATCCCAGTCCAGTAATCAAAGCAAACATTATATAGATTTTGATTGCTCCAACAAGAATGAAGTCTTTGTTAACTGAAGTAGCTTTATTGATTCGAATGAGGAAATGTATTTAATTCTGTTTTCTGAAGTGCTCCAAGCTGYGTGTGCATTTAATGCTTATGAATTCCGAGATGAAGGACTGAAAAGTTCTGTGTCAAGCTGTGGAAGAGAAACTGTATCATTTCCAGAATGTTTATTYTAATGTTCTTTTCCAAAGGCAGTTATAATAATACTTATAGTTATCATTATCATCTTAGAAAAGACCTTAATGTTTCACAAACAGCGTGATTTGTTTAAGTCTCATAATTAACAACATTCTTGACTGTTTAGCAATAATTAGTTTGTTTTCATAGAAATACTCTGTTTCATCTCTCTGTACAGAAGTTGAAAAGCGATGGAATAGCAAAAATGTTCAGTCTCACAGCTGAAGATGAAAAGTTTATGAAAATAAAATCAACCACAATGACAACATGTGATCTTGTTTTAAGTACGACCTTTAGCTCCTTAAAGCACATATAATTCAATGCTAGARAGTAACTTAAATTTGCATTACTACAGTGCTTCAAATTGACAGCCTTAAAATTTCATTGTCTGAGGACATTATGAGGAATTCAGCTGTGCATTTCCTCATGGACAACACATCAAGCAAAACATGAAAAATAAAAAGAAGAACTCTCCTTGCTTCTGAAGTCTAACCAGGATCAAGTGCATTTCTCGTGACACACTGAAAAAAAAGTTTAAGTGTTGTTCCAAGCAGATGCAGCTATTCTGGGTCTGCTTTTCTTCAAAATTAAGCTCTGCAGAGAACTTAAACTCAGGCCCTTTGGGAGTAAGTCTTCTATGTGAAAAACTTTGTGCTCTTTCACCTATAGGACTCCACTGTAAAGATAATAACARGAGCCTTATTTTGTTCAGGGACCATTGCAGGTTATCTGCAGCTGTCTGGTTTATTACCACTTCAATTCGAGACCTACATTTTTATTCATTGTTTCTCTTATGAGTAGCATTTTGAAAAGTAATATCAAATAAATGGACCTGTGGCTGTGGCCCCACACAATGCTTTCCTTTATTAGATGTCTCMGATGTTCTGTGTTTGAGGATGATTAAAGTACCTCTACCAGAGTTTCATAGTTCATTTCATTCCATGTGCATTCATAAATTAGTTGATGGTAATCTATTAATAAAAACTTAATATTCTACATTATTCTCTATTGAATGTTGCCAGGGGTTTTCTCCTTTTTCTTTCTTTTTCTTTCTTTTTTTTTTTTTTTTTTTTTTTTTTTTTTTTTTTTTTTTTTTTAACTGTAACTATTCACAGATTCCCTTCAAGAGTATGACAAGATACAGGTTACAATACTGGCTTGATAATGGACAAGAGTTTTTCTTCCTCTCCAGGTAACATGAACTCTAAGATGAGAAGCGATGGTTTACCTTCATAATTAACATATTAGTCATTATTTAATCCTGAGATTATTAAAACCTGATCTAAAATGKGGAATGAGAATTTATCACTGAAAAACAGGACATGGCAAATCCTGCTTTCTTGGTCCCAACAAATTAGTACCAGCAATCAGGTTACCTGCAAGATTAACATCCCTAAAAGTTCTTACTGGAAGAGGAAGGCCTGACTTAGAACTAAGSAAGAATAGCATCATGGAGGCTGCTGGCTGCCTTTTTATCCTTTTAATTTTTAGCAGATAAGGAAGATCTGGTTACTTTAGGAGAAAAATGAAGAACTCATCACAGTTTACAGGGATGAGCATGTGGGAGGAGGGAACTGCAGGGGAAGGAACGCTGTAAAAGTAACAGGACATAAAACATAAGCAGTGAGATCCTGTTTTTTAGAAGACTCAGATGAACAATATGATCATAACTRGGACAAGATTCACAGTTACAAGGAAAGAAAATATTTTGTAATTCTTTTTTCTCTCCACACTGCTAACATTTCAGAGATTGTCCATGTCCAAAAATCCCTCTGGGAGCACAGAACAAAGTAGCTCACCTATCTTTAGCCATTTTTCCTCCTGTTTTGTTGTTGTCTCCTTTCAAAATTTTTTTACTTTTTTTAGTTTTTGTTTTGTTTGGGTTTTTTTTGTTCATTTGTTTGCTTGGTTTCGGTTTAGGTCCTTTCCTTCCCTGAAGGAATTTATTTTTCACTTAAATTTGCTTTTATTCCACACATGTCTTCTATCTTTCTCTGCAAGAAAAATAATTGTCACCAGTGATGCCAGGACAGCACTGGTTTGCACAGCAGTATGTGCTGTAAGATGGACACCTTTGAATATGTGGTGGAAAGTAATTCTGTGACATTTTCTGGCCAGATCTTTGTGCATAGTGGAGCTCTTAAAAAAAAAAATACAAAACAAGAAGAACAGGAGTTCAGAGTGTGCAAAGGAGACACTGTGTAGTCTTACCCCATTTTGGCATGGATCCAGACCTTTTGTTACCCTTTTAAGGACATTCTGCTGCCCTTGGAGTGCCATGTGTCCTTCATGTTTACAAGARAACTAAGATTAGCAGTGATAGTGGTCTTAGGATCAAGAGGCAAGTCTACATTCAATACCGTGTTTATACTCCTAGCTGGTTTTCCCAGAATTCGTACACACATCAACAATTCCATAATGCATGAGTAAGATCTGTTTATTCCTTACCACAGCTTCAGCATTAATCATTTGTTCTGCTCCAAACCACCAGGAAAASTTTGTGCTGTGGAAAAGTACTAAACAATGTGTAGTGCCTTGGATCAGGATCAGGCTCAGACCCAGTCCAGATTTAACAATTCATTTTTGCACATGGCCATTACACTGCATTTCAGTTCTCTGCCCCCAGAAAAGAATTTATTCAGTTTTCCATTCAGCTGTGACCTGCTCTCAGGAATTTTGGAGGATAAATTTTTTAGAAACATCCAAATGTAACCAAATCCAAATTTTTGATAACAGCTAATCATTCATGTGGCTTTTTTTCTCTCTTTTTTTTTTCCCCAAAAACTATAGAGAAAAAAAAAAGCCATGAACATCCCTAACATTTTGCAGTGCTGTAGAAAGCTGCAAGCCAAACCTAATGGAGTTTGCTTGGCTATTGGATTGGTGTCACAATTAGTCTCTGCTGATGAGTGGCATAATTAAGAAACCTGTGTTAGTCTGGAGATCATGACAGAAAGAAAAAGATATTTTTAGATGTACTAGCTGCATCTAGTGGATTCATTTGGAAGCACTGATAAACAGACACAGCTGGTGGCAGAACTAGAAGCTGAGCTGTCCTTTACTTCCTGTCTCCTGTGAAGTATTAATATCAGGTGAAGTCGATTGGTATTAAGAAACAATCTGAAAGCAATTGGGAGGGAAAATAACAATGAATGGAAATCATAGTTGTCCAGAGTCACCTAAAATCCACAAAAACATGGGAAGTCTTCTCTTAGCTCTGTCTTCTGTTGTTCCTGAGAACTTCAGCAAACACCACTTGGTGTTATAGTACCTTTTAYGGCTGTGAAAGATTGAGTGTTCATTAGYAGATCRGCCGAGCAGCTACACAGCYATTGCTGCCCATCACTGGGGGTGARTKTGTTTCCTCMAACTCAGGGCCACAATTCTCAGTATGGTTTTCACCCCTCACCATAACKCTTTTCATCTGGACCACCTAAACTCCCTGTGGTTTTTAATTCAGCTGGTCTGCAAGCAGAGATGCTGTTTTCCCCACGTATGATATTTATATCCTTCCACGCTTAACCCCGATAGAATTGGTGATAAGGTGAACATGAAACCGGAGAATGATTCCTTTGATTACATCTGCTACTGACACAATTGTTCTTTATATCCAGAATCTCCTGCTAGTGCTCTTGTGAACTGCCGTGTACCTCTGGCAGGAAAGCAAGTGTTCACAGGCCTGAGGAATTCCATTTTCATTTTATTGATGGTAATTCTGTAAGTTGAGCACTCTGAAGCTGCTCCTGGAGCACGGACCGGTTTGGCTAATGGATTCTGCAAACAGAGCATACATTCAAGAGGAATTCTCCAGGGAACTGAAAAATGAGCCATTACCCTTAYATAGACATTAGGAATAAACAAACCYGAGCAAAATAGTTCTCCAAAACTTAATACAACTATATTTGTACAGTGTGGTTCAGCCTGGATGGCGGGATTTCTAGAAACCTTGATAAAATGTTTGCAACCCAGTCCAGTGACAGACAAATTTACTGAGAGTACCTAAACCATTTGTTAATACCACAGACTGAGAAACACTGACTTTCAGGACTGCTGGTAGCCGCGTCCACCCCACTGCAGAAACCAGTGCCAGCTGATGGCAAAGAAACTACCCAGCTGTGAAAATCCCAGCACAAATGAAAAACCGTGGCAATTTATTTTCATATAGATTACAGAGTAAGATCTTATGAACCCATATGAAATATATCTGGGGCAAATCCAATTTCTGTTAGAGAGGAGCTCACACAAAAATGCTTTCTACAGTTTCAACCAAAACTTTGTGGGCTGCCTCCAGAGAAAGCAAAGGSACCGAAGTTCCTGTTGTGTGTTGCAGTGTGAGTAGTCATGACACAAAGAGGACTAACAATGTCAAAAGTTTGGGAGCTTGAGGATTAACATTTTTGGTCTAAAGTCACAAGGTTTTGTGCTTCTGGGTTCTTCAGGTCGTGCTTAGTCTGGATGTGTCTTAACCAGCCATTTGAAGTGAACTCCTTTATCCCTTGAAAACACAGAAWGGTTGGAAGTTGATCTCACTGCCTGAAGGAGGGATAAGTGAGTCCRTGTCTCAAGCACATCTTAGGAATGGCAATTAAAATCTAATTCTAATTAGCAGAATTGAATGCTACTCCAAATAAACAAGAAGCAAATTTGTTTTGCAGATTTTTAGCTGCAGAAGTAGATGAGTAGCAGATAATGTGCAAGTTAATCACTGTTGCAGCAGCAAATAGACTAGACTGTAAATACATAAAAAACACATTTAGGATTTCTTTTGCCAAATGAATTATTGTCAGACCAGACATTAAGGCTGATGCTGAGGCCAGGGCAGCCTCTTTTGGCCTTACTGTCTGGTCCGATTTTTGGTTAATTACGGCTGAGAAGCTGGAAAGTTTGCAGCTCTGTTGCATATTCTTTATCTGCTCTGAGGAGCTAAATTAGGAGAAACCCCAGGCTGTCAATTCTCTAATAATCATCCAATAAGAATTACAGAGAGGCTGAAAGCCTCCAGCTGTCARCTCAGACTTATTACTGTGGGTCAGGTCATCTGGAGAGCCAAAAGCAGTGARGATCAAGGAACTTTTAGCATTAAAGGTAAACTGTCTTTCATTTAACCATTCTTATTGCAAACTTCAGATCTCCAAACTGTGTCCYGAATAAGGCAATTATAGGGCTCTTAATTTGATCCTCTTATTTTATAACCATAGTACTGGTAAATGCTTTCACTAATCTGAGCAGCACTAGCTCCTGCTCCTGTATCTGTCCCACCATGTACTCCCAGAATGTGACTAGTGCCATTATTACTCATGTGTGTACATCCTGCAAGGTACCCTAGGGCCAAGATCCTGAAAGTTYAGCATCCAAGTATCTTTTGAGATTATGGCCTGCATTAAACARAATTGAATTTGTGATACATTTCAGCATAATGCTTCCAGAAGCTACACCAATAACTGTAATCATCCCTAACCTGGCTGTTATAAGGGAGGGGAATCATGTTAGAATTACAAAAAAAGAAACACATGGTAATATTTAGAGTATGTCACCCAACATTATATATTGTGTGTTTTAATTGCAAGGAAGCTGGGACTGCAGTGCAAAACAGCAACACTTGTGAATTTGGACTGCCATTAATGTCACATTTTGTTGGGTACTGCATTTACACACATTTTAATGGTACTCAAAATAGAATGCCAAACCTCAGCTTTACTGGCTCTATAAAAAGAATCTGAAGTCAAAGCCTAGAACCAAAGGAAAGAAAAAAAAAAAAAGAGATGAAGAAAGAATGGAAAAAAGAGGAAAAACCTAGCTGATGCCTTTCCTGGAAACAATTCAGTGGATATAGTAACAATAAACCTGTTCTAGAAATAAAGATATATAATACACAGCCTCATAAAGAAAGTAGATCCTTTAACTACYGTAAAACATGTGAAGTACTACCTTTCAATGGTTAAGCATAAAACAAAGTTTTTCTCTTCCTCTTCAAAACAAGAAATCTGAAAACTGGACTAAGAAGAAATCCRGGGAGTTTCCTTAATCCAGTTCTACACGCATTTTTAAATACCTCTCTAAAACTCTTCTTGATTACTATTTACATGCAAGTTTTGTAATGGAGACCTGGGTTTTCACACAAATACATATTTCATGACTTTCTGACAGCAACTTAGTGTATTTTGAAGGAAAATAAATAGGCAAAGGAGACGATTTATCCCAAAGATGTCTGGATACCTTTTTGTTTGTAATTCCACACAGAAGTAAAATACCTGGCAAATACCTGGAAAAAATTGTCCTCTTTTTTTGCATATGTTGAATTGTGGAGCCCTTATTAACATTCATATCCTCTCCTCTGTCCCACCTTGAACAGCTCTAACTAAACCGAAAGGCTGAGTTTAGAGCTCCAGCAGAGACCTTTATCTTGGCACATGCTTAAATTCTGCTTCTCCAAAAGGGTAGGRGTAAATTTGCATGCACTGAACTTASAACAATAAAAAGATATGCTTTCTCTTCCAAAACACTACAATCTCTATTTTTGAGTTTGTTACAGCCTCATTCAACTCAGCCATGCCTGGGCCAAAGCTATAGAATGAGGTGTGCGTGCACAAGAGTGATGAACGCTGAACTGCAGACTTGGTGGATATGAATTGGAATTTGAGCCACCTTTCAACTTGTTGGCAACGTTGGGTTTTTAAATCATTCCTGTAAATGCAGCTTTTCAGCACGTGACACCTAGAAATAATTCAACAGTATTGGATATTTGTTATTAATTCAAACTTTTCTGCCACTGCTGCACCTCTGCAAGCCGTGCTGAGTTAGCCTATCCATTCAATCAGGTGCAGGCAAGCTGCATGTTTGGGAAGCACGTGGAGAAATTACCTTTGTTTTCAGAACTCATGAAAGGAGTTCCAAGGTACTGACTGCAGTGTCTTGCCTCACATCCCTGCATCAAAGACTAACATTTTGCCAGTAATGATCATCTGAACTCTTATTCTTTATTTTAATTTGAAGGCAGTGATACAGATAAAATTAAAACATAAAATTAAATAGTTCAAAGGAAAGGAATTTATCTCTCACTCATACAGCTAATGAGAGATGTGTACCRTGAAAGGTGTCCATACAAATGTCTGACTTAAAAACGTAAATTAAAGTTTTGGTCTCTGACACTGAGGCTACTTCAGGACACCACTGACTCTGTGAAAACATTCAGTGATGTTACCATCTTTGTAGGTTAACACAAGGAGAGCAAAATTGTTTGAAATTCATCAGCACAGGAGCTGGACTTGAATTTCTTTAAGCAAAAATGGATTCCTTGCTATACTGCCTTGCAACTCAGACCTCTTATGGCAATTGTGGCATGTAAAGAGCTACAGAGATTTGCACTGTAGTTGGAGACAGAATTTGTAAGGACATACAAAAATCTGTGCTTAGGTCCTATATCCATTCAGAGCAACATTGAGATTAATGGGGTTGAACTCAGCTTCAGGATCTGTCTCACACATATTTCTTTGTGGGCCTAGAATGCAGTGAACTGGGATAAAGCACTGTAGCAATTGTGAAAATATTGTCTAATGTTTTCCTTTTTTCTATGGCATGGATGTAACCGGGTCTCAAATGATCTGGAAATTATTGTTGCAATGATTTACATACTCAATTGGGAAATATACTGAATTTGCCTRGGGGAAAGAGACAGGACAAAACACTATTCTAATACAATTATTTTATATGGAATGCAACAGGTCATGTAATCACAACCTGTATTAAGCATTGCATAATTACATTTTTTCTTTTGTATCATCAAGGCAGTGCAAGAGTTGAAGTACAAGACTGCCGTGARCTGAATAAAAATACAGCCAAGTTCCAAAATATTTACAATATTACCTGAATGTATCCTGCCCTGGATACGTATCCTGCTGCTAGATCTGGATACGACTTTTGCACAGAAATTACCCATCTCCTGCCTTTGGTAGAAAAGATTCACAGTAAGAGGGTGCAGCAAGAAGCTGTCTGGTAATCCTGCTTCCCTGGAGGTCCTGCTGGCTTGTTCAACACTTAAAGTGAGTTAGATAAGTGCTGATACATCACAGTGACAGGCATTATAAATATCCTGCTCGGCTGGGTGCATATGGAGCTGCATTCCATCCAGGGCAATTTCCATGTGCATCTGGAGTGCGGTGTCACCTGTTAACCACACACGTGCTGACCCTCCCAACCACCCAGCTACAATGCCAGATGTCCAAAGATGCCCAGCTGGCTCCTCTCTGCCAGCACCTACCTGGGCAGCTCCTATGCTGAGCAGACCTGCACTGCAGAAGCAGCTGAGTGCCTGCTCACAAGGGGCATCAACAAAGACCTGATGCTGGTGGCCTTGGGGACAGCCAGGACTTCCTTGCTGTGTGTATTCCCAACAGTGGGAACTCAGAGCACTCTGAGTGTCCCAGTTCTGCACCCAGCCCAGCTGTTAACATAAGTCCTGTGCCATGCAACGTTTAAGAACCAACCACTGACTTTTGTTTCTAACATGCCCTGAGGCTGAGCCAGAGGTGAAAGAAGCTTCAGCTCTGAGTAATCACATTGTCTGCATCAACATGATTAAGCAAGCAATACATTTAGAGCTTTGCATATGAGATAAATTAAAGCTTTTTGTTCAATGGCACTGAATGCATTTGAGTTTAAAAGGGTGTATACTGTCCCTTCAGTAACCCTGCCTTGTCATCATGATACACCACCCTGTACTCCTAGGGCTCAGAAAGATTAAGAGAAGCATTTACATCTTGCATTAATGAAGCAAC